AATTTACTTAGTTACATACTCTATGGAAGCAAGATTGATATTTTTTATCAATTACCATTGCTGATATGCATATGATCGGTTAGGATTTTTCTACTTTGGAGTTGGGGCCCATTCACTCACATTGAACTTCTCAATTCTCAGGATGAAAATTTCATTTCATCTCTAAACTTCTCAATTCTCATGATGAAAATTTCATTTCATCTCTAAACTTCTCCCCCAAATGGGGCTGAGACAACAAGATTGGGTTTTGAGTACTTTTCCATCAAATGGGGCTGAGACAACAAGATTGGGTTTTGAGTACTTTTCCATCAACTTGGACTAGTGCTTTCTAATGTAAAGTGGAAAAGATTTTCCAACTGCTTCATAAATGTCTAGCATCATTAGTATTGTCACTCAAGCCTTATTCCACCTATTTAGAATGAGTTATACCAATATTGTTCTGTCATTTTAGTGCTCTCTATCATGGATCATATCCTCAAACCATACCTCGATCATATCCTCATACCATACCTCACCTTATCTCTTCTCACTTCTCATTGCTCGTTTCAACAAAGCATATATCTCCATAAAATAAACAAGAGAAAGGGGTACTCTCTTCAAAAGGAGCTTTCTCAGGAAGTTCTTTCCCATAAACAAATCCTAAGTGCCACACAAACTCATCCTTGCCCAGCAAAAACAAAGACCACGAAAAGTTTATGCACATATCTGTCATCACCGTCAAATGAACGAGTCAAAGGCGATGGAGAGCACAAGATGTGCAGGACTAGAGAAAGTCGCTCCTGTATCAGTCAAACCATTGATTGGACGATGATGACATGAGTTTCTATTATCATGTAGTATACTTTACTGAAAAATCGCTCTCTAGGTTCCCAAAAAAGTAAATGAGGATGCCCTAAAGCAAAAGAACTGGGTCCTTCTCACTGTAAGGACCACAACGCGTTGGGCAGTCCTACAATTGCTTTACTCACACCCTACAATGACCCTAGTCAAAGCTTTTCATAACGCATACACACATGATTTCCAAGTCCTTATCCAAGTGGTCCACACCCCATTATATCAACATAAACGAACACCCTTTGAAACTTTTATTTCTTAATCAAAAGGTGTGGGTTCGCACTCATAACTCACTTTTATTAAAACAAGCAATAATAGTAACCAATGACAGATTCCTAGCATTTGGGGCACACCCCCTTTCCTAAATGACCAATCTATCCCTTGATTTACAAGAACTGCAACTCTATCCCTGACTTCCCAAGGAGACAAGTACGCCTTTGATTGGGTTTTAAAAATTGGCGGGTTGAATCGGAATCGCTTGGTTTCATCAAAACATGTGAAGCTGATCTAGGCCTAGTGTAGCTCTTGACCACCAACTCCTTTCTCTTTTGTTTGGATTATATTTAATGAGACTATCTTTTCGAGCAAAAAAGTATAGTCACTCGAAGTTACACATGTCGAAGTCCTAAAGCTTAAGATCTGCTGTAAAGATTGAGATATCTTCTTTTAGAATTTGAGTTTGGCCAATGTCACATCCCTGATTGCTAGATTTTAAGTCTAATGGACACAACCTCTTTATACTACAGATAAATGGTCCATTATATCTATACACCGATCTATATGAGTATATTTGTCACGATTCAAGGGACCGTTCTGACATTTCAAAACCGATCTTCGAATGGTTCTGAAAATAACTATGCTGCCCCATCACGTGCCACTTTCACACTTTGGGCCCATGATTTTACATCATGAATGAGCCCCTTGAAAATGCATAAGATTACATATCATTCTCTCATTTAGGGTGGACGGTTCAGATTCATTTGGCTAAAAAAAAAAGTCCAGATTCTAGAGTTTTGGGAGATGAAACTTTTGGAGCGAAATTTCGGGGTTTGGAAAGTTTCACCGATATTTTGTGAATGATTAGGGTGATGAGAGCAGTGAGTCAAACAGAGTGGCACTCGTGCGGTCTAATCATGTGGAGCATGAGTCCATTACATGAAAGCAATCATGCAATCCACGTAAAGAGATAAAAAGCGCGGTTTCTTATATCTTTCAGCACTCGCCTCATCACTTCTATTGACAATACTTTTTCTCTCTCTTATTATACTTTTAAGATTAAAAAAGAAAAGATAGAGAGAGGAAGGGAGTGATCATCACTACTATTGACAATAACTTCTCTACTTATCATCCTTTCAATATTAAAATAAAAATAAAAGAGAAGAGATAAAGAGGGTATGGTTTGTATAAGTTGCTAATTTTATACAATTGAAGTATGGTGTGCCTCAAAATTATGTCAAAAATATAGTTTCGGTGCTACAAAGCTTTGCGATGATATTAAGATCTATTGTTGCCTTGAATTATGAAATCTATTGTTCTAAAAATAGTGACGATCAAGTAAATCCATTAACAGTTAAAAATCTTAGAAATGAACGGTTCAGATAATGTGGTAGAAGATAAATTATTTTTAAGGTTAGAAATATCTTTTTTTTTTCGTATCGACGAGTCCAAAGGTTGAGATGGTCGATTTGAAGGTTTTCCAATATTAAAACAAATTTCACTTGTGGGTACTAAAAAAAAGTGCACTTTACCTCAAATATATAAAGTTGAAACCTTACAAAAACTTTTTCCCTATAAAAGAGAGTTAGAAAGAAAAAAAGGGCCGAGTTATATAAAGTTGAAACCTTATAAAAAATTTTTCCCTATAAAAGAGAGTTAGAAAGAAAAAAAGGGCCGAGTTGCACAATCATGTCTGCCATGTGGGGCTGTCCGCACGTGCGATACATGAACCAACCCCTCCCCCAAAGAGTAAGACTTACTGGTAGGGCCCAAAACCCCCTCTCTCTCAACTTTTTAGTAGGGCCAAACTTCTCTCTACACTTTCTGTCCAAATTTTTTCTCTTGCATTGAGCTAAAACACATCTAAACATCTAAAGATTTGTTCGGTTAGAACGGTTGAATAGTTATTTCAATTGTGAAATTTATTTTTAATTAATCATTTTTATTTAATTAAATTATAAAACCTATTTTTTGTTAACCATTCTTATTCGATTTTACGGACTCACCTCTCTCTCTCCACCCAAGTAAACCGCTACTTTAACCCCATTTCTCTTCTCGATCAAAAAAACCAGTTCCGAGAAGTCCCCTCCCACTCCATCTCTCTCCACATTAAACGATTCTCCAGGAGGCTCCAAAACTATTACGCCAACCCCACCTCTCTCTCTCTCTCTTCTTTATCTCTCTAACTCAAACGTGCCCATCTTGAAAAAACCGAAAGGAAATATCTCTCAACCTGTTCACTTTTCCTCAACTGATGAAAGGAAAAAGGAGCGACTCATAGCTTATAAATCAGGCACCAGCTCTTCCCTCTTCTCCCTCTGCATATCCCTCTCTCTCTCTCTCTACAATGGCATCTGAGAAAGTGGAAACCGTTATTGCTGGAAGTTATATGGAGATGGAGACCGAGGAGAAACCCAAAACATTGGAAGGAAGACTGTCAAGGCTCTTTTGGCATGGTGGTTCAGTTTATGATGCCTGGTTCAGCTGCTCTTCTAATCAGGTCATTCTTAATTCCTTTCTCTCTCTCTTCCCATTTTTGTAAATTTCATTTCCTCTCCTTTGATCTCATCATTCTCTCTCTCTAACAGGTTGCCCAGGTGTTGCTGACATTGCCATACTCCTTCTCTCAATTGGGTATGGCCTCAGGTATAGCATTTCAGCTCTTCTATGGTTTGATGGGCAGTTGGACTGCGTACCTCATCAGTGTTTTGTACGTGGAGTACAGAACCAGAAAAGAAAGGGAAAAAATCGACTTTCGAAACCATGTAATTCAGGTACTAAAATCATTATAACTTAATGCTAAATATAATCGTTAATTAAGCCTAAAAAAACACTCAATCAAAGCAAATAAAAGCCCATAAAAATAAGAAAATAACAAATTAAAAGGGAGAATTTGTTTTCCATAATTTTCAATTTTTTATAATTTGTTTTAGTGGTTCGAAGTTCTGGATGGGTTATTGGGCAAGCATTGGAGAAACATTGGCCTGCTCTTCAACTGCACTTTTCTCCTCTTTGGATCAGTGATTCAACTTATTGCTTGTGCAAGGTATGCTCCTAAATTCAAATACATATATTCATGAACAATTAAATAACATCTTTCATGTGTGTGTTTTTCTTATGATTTTTTTTTTTTTTTTTTTTGGGCAGCAATATATATTACATAAATGATAACCTGGACAAGAGAACGTGGACTTATATCTTTGGGGCATGTTGTGCCACTACGGTTTTCATCCCTTCATTCCACAATTATAGAATATGGTCTTTCTTGGGTCTTATGATGACCACTTACACAGCTTGGTATTTGACGGCTGCCGCATTAATCCATGGACAGGTAAAAGAAAATAAAATTTACTGTATCTTAAAATATTAAGGGGTTTTAAAAACAGATTGGCCACCCCCAAAAATCGAGTCAGTTCGGTGAATCGGCGATCTGGATGGGGGAATCAGTCGGTTTTGGCCTAAAAAAATTCAAACAATTACTAAAAATAGTGTTTCATGAGTTTCAAAACAATTTTGGAATGATGCATTATGTATTTTTCATTATTTTACAAAATGCATAAATATTGAGAAATCATTTCCCTGTCTGGATGTCTATAGACCATTGAATATCTTAGGATCCTTTTTTCCTTGGCATTGTCTTAATTTCCTTAGAATGTTATTTAAAAAAAGAAAACAAAAAAATAAAACTGAGATAGATGTCCTCATTATCTTAATTTCTTTTGTTGGCAAAGTTTTCTTTACACCATATATCATTATTTATATAGCTTTGAAATTAACTACATGGGCCAGAATCTAAATAACTTACGGTGTAAAATAACTAAAAATTAGGATGTTGTAAAATTTTAAAATTAGCTACGGCATAAAATAACTATAGTGTAGATTAACTATGTTTAAACTATGGCATGAAGAAAATAATCCAAAAAGAAGGAAAAATGTAAAATAAATATTTTTTCCAATATTTTGCAAAATAATAGATAAGATAGAAAACATATTACTAATAAATTTATTATTTTTTGAGATTTTGATATTATTTTTTAATTTGTTTTAAGATCTCCAATATGGAACCCAATTCAAGGATCCTTGGACTCGCACCCAAGTTACTCGGGCGAGGCTGAGCTGGCTCGCCTGAGTAATCAAACATTGATTTATATAAGTATCAACCTTAAACAATAAAAGTAATATGTGTTTTCAAACTCTGCAGAAAGATGCCGTTTGTATGCAAGAAACTAACATGATGATCTGAAATTTACTTTTCACCCATTAATTGTGAAATACAAAGTTCCTAATGGTGAAGATCGAAGCATACTTCCAAACACTCGAAAATCTTAAAAATCAATTATCTAACTAACATATTGTGTACTACTTTAGGACTTGAAATCTAATTTTCTTTTTTATATCCGTCCATCTCAAGGTTGAGATGATCAAGGGAAGATACATCTAAATGACGTTTTCCAAAGATTTTTAAGATGTTCCTCACTTTTACATATAAGGTTGAAGCTTATCTAAAATTTTCATATTTCAAAATTTTAATTAGTTCCAATACTATGTAAGGAAATTTAGAGTGCATGTGCATGTAGAATATTGTACAAATTCACATGTAAAATATTATGATATGATATTCTATAGACATCTTATAGAGAACATTGTAAAAGAAAATATGATGGACGAAATTAGTCTCTCCCACTCTCGCTTAGAAGTCATGTTGAATATGTTTTGTCGAAGGTCGATGGAGTGATACATTCGGGTCCGAGTAAACTTGTGCTCTATTTCACGGGGGCAACCAACATTCTCTACACGTTTGGTGGACACGCAGTGACAGTGTGAGTAAATAAATCGACCAAAACCCTCTCTCTTAGTTATAGTATACATAAGAAAAAAGAGATCTGTAGAGAGTAAAACTAGTGTCATATTTCTTTTGTCACTAATACGAAGATATTAAAAAAAAAGATATGTGGTTGTTGATAATTTGTAGAGAGATAATGCATGCGATGTGGAAGCCTCAAAAGTTCAAGTCAATATACCTGCTGGCTACGCTGTACGTTCTGACGCTGACACTTCCGTCTGCGGCCGCAGTTTACTGGGCATTTGGGGATATGCTCCTCAACCATTCCAACGCTTTCTCTCTCCTCCCCAGGTCACCTTTTCGAGACACCGCTGTTATCCTCATGCTCATCCATCAGGCAAGCAAACCACCTCCCCCCCCCCCCCCCACCACCAACAAATATGCCCTTTTGTGTTAATACAACGGGTGTTAACACAAATATGCCCTTTCTCTTTAGCTATTAGATATAAAATCAGATGTAGCTAGGGTGTGCCATGGAGCCAAAAAAAAAAAAATTAAACATTTTCCTGAATCTTGTCCCTGTAAGAAGGAATTATGACCTTCTCAAACCAAAAGGTAAACCCTCTGCTAAAAACAATTTTCAATTTTGTTTTTTTTTAAAAAAAAATAAACAAGAAAAATAAAGTTCATTCTTCATACCTAACATTAGTGCATTCACATTTAAATGCAGTTTATAACATTTGGATTTGCTTGCACCCCACTATACTTGGTGTGGGAGAAAGCCATTGGCATGCACGAGACAAAGAGTGTGTTAAGGCGAGCTTTGGCCAGGCTCCCCGTGGTCATACCCATCTGGTTTTTGGCCATAATGTTCCCCTTCTTTGGCCCCATAAACTCAACTGTTGGCTCTCTCTTGGTTAGCTTCACCGTCTACATCATACCGGCCGTTGCTCACATGCTAACTTTTCGAACTGCTTCGTCAAGAGAGGTAAGTGTTTGTTTCCGAGATAATCTGACAGTATTAAGTAATTTGCTTTTTCTTTTTCTTTTTTTTCTTTTCTTTGGTACTATGAACTTTTCATGAATGGGTTGTATAGGAAGTGTATACATAACGTGCTATTTGTTGATTGAGGGTTCGAAAATTCTAGGGGATCAGAATTTGCTCGAAAGCTTAACATAGGCAAGATTTATTAAATCACACTTAAGATATGAACTAATTTCTTTATGATCCACTATAATGTTTCTTTGGATAGGTTATATGATGTTTGATTAAAGAAGGGTGCGGTTTGTATAGAGCCTAGGCTCTAAACAATCAAATTAGAGCCTACCTTCAAGGAGTGTCGAGAAATGTGGTTTCAATACTGAAAATCTTTGTCATAGCCTTAAAATATATTTTCATTTTTATTTATAAAATTTAAAGCTTCAAAAATATTATAGATCGATAGATTTATGAAAACTTGAAAATCTTGAAAATTGACAGTCCAAAAAATCCGCTACAAAATGTACTATTTCCAAAACTTGAAATCCATTTTTTCCTCATGTACATGCATCTTGATGTTGAGATGATCAATTTAAGGATATTTGAGCATCAAAACAACCTCTTCTAGTGAAATTTTTGAGGTAGGCTTTAATTTAATTGTTTAGAGCCTCAGTTCTATATAAACCTTTCCCATTAAAGAATGATGGGCTATTTGAAATTAGATTAAGGAATCGAGGGAGATATCGAATAGTTCAACTCTAGAGTGTGATTTGATAAATTTCTCTTTATTATATGCAATCAACACCATGTATGTAGAAGAGTACTAGTGTTTTGAGTGGGAAATACAAAAGGGGAAGTATATAATGAGACTGTTTACCTTTGATACAAGGTGGTCGCAATTAACCATGACCATTGGATGTGAAATCGGTTGGATGTATTTATTTGCTTGACCAACCTCAAAGTTTAAAAGAAATTTTCTCAAACTTTGTGACATTAAATTTTAGATCGGATGGTTGTAAATTGTTGTGACATCCCTGTATCAAAAGTAAATAGTCTCATTGTATACAATCCCAATACAGAAATGGTCAAATAGCAATCCCTAAGTCTCATTTTGTAGGATGTCTCTTTTGACCGATTTTCTACAGTAACCGAGTTGTGTTGCTCACACCAACAAAGCAAATTTAAAACTTTTGCACGTATTTTACACGAAAATGTTTATAGGTTCCAATTTTATACTATGCAAAAAGGCACACCTCAAAAATCCATTGAAAAAGATTGTTTTGATGCTAAAAAACCCTTTATTGATCATCTTGATCTCAAGAAGTACAAATGTGAAAAACAAATAAAGAAAAGATTCTAAAATTTCAAAAATGATACATCTTGTAATATATTATCTAAACCGTCCATTATCAAGATTTTCATCTATTTGTAAATATACTCAATCTATACCCATTTTTTGAGCTTTAAAGTTCATAATTAGATGTGAAATAGATTTTCAAGTCATTGTTGAAACTTCAAAACCCAAAATTACACCTTTAGACCAGCTTTAGAGGTACAACTTACTTTGATTGTTTAAGGTTGACACCTTATACAAACAGCACACTATTTTATATATTGTATTCCATGAATCAATTAGCCAATCAAAAAGATAAATTAATATGAACTTAGACACAAGTGGGTTCATTAGTTGTTATCATCATCATCATTATTAATTAATTATTTTTTTTTGAAAATGATAACAAATAATTTTGACTTGCAGAATGCGGTGGAGCGGCCCCCACGCTTCGTTGGTGGGTGGACAGGAACCTACTCAATAAACATGTTTGTAGTTGGTTGGGTGTTCATAGTAGGGTTTGGGTTCGGTGGATGGGCGAGTATGCTCAATTTTATACGCCAAGTGGACTCATTTGGGTTATTTACAAAGTGCTACCAATGCCCTCCCCCCAAGAATCTTCCCCCTTCAAATTCCACTTTCTCACCCTCTCACAAGTCTTGATCCCAAGGTTTTTCTTACAAGGACAGATTTATATTAATTGTATATTGATGGCTTTTTATGATCTAATTATAGGTGAAATTTAGAGGTTTTTTTGGTTTTGGTTTGCTCAATATGCTTGGCCACTTCATGTGAAATCAACTGGTGAAATTTGGGGCCAAGTTTAAGATCTCTCTCTCTCAATCAATTGATGAAAATTCGGGGCTAATTTCATAATCAAATTCTCTCTTCTTGAGGCCTAAACTCTCTCTCCTCTCTCTCAAGGTAACTACAACAACCTTTAACATATCCAGGCTGTCTATTATGCCGAGGGTTTACATTTAATATTATGGTGGGCCACTTCAAAAGAAAACTACAATTACTTTTAACCATTGGATGTGAAATTCAATAAATTGTATCATAATATTTGAAAAGACACATCTTCAACTTCTTGATTTCAAACCTAATTATCAAGATAATTGTGACCTTCTTTGTAAAAAATAAATAGGCTTGTTGTATACATTTCAAATTTTTAAAGTTTTTTTTTAGTCACATTTTATGATCAATTTTAAGAAAGAAAGACATTAGTTTTGAACTTCTAAAATCATAGAATGAAAGAGTGAGTAAGGGGATGCACAAATCTTGTGCATAAAACTTGCATTTTTACGGTGAAATCTAAAAAAAGAGGACCCAAACAAAATAAAAAAACAAATGGTATAAAAGCTAAATAACTATTATTAAAATTTTAAATTTAATTTTTTTTTTCTCATTTGTGATCACCTGTCAGAGTATGGATTTTAAAATCTATCTTTAAAAGGGGCTTTATAGGGAGGACGCATATTAACTTACGGGTTAGCCAACTCCTAGAAAACCCACCCTATTATTTATAGGAAAACGTTATATAAGGTTGCAATGTAGCATAACTAAGGTGCCCTTCAAATATCTAGTAAAAAGAGTGATCTAAAGTAGGAAAACCCTTAAATTTATAATCTTGATCTTGAGATGTATGAATATAAAGGAGAAAAATAAATAAATTTTAGGTTGTAAAAATAGTGTCTTGTAACAAATTATCTAGACTGGTTATTTTCAAGATTTTAAGTATTTATAGATCCACTCTATCAGCATTGTTTTTGAAATTTTAAAATTCATAATTATGGTTAAATGTAGATTTTCAAACTATTTCGATCAAAACTACATCTTCCAACAATGTTTAGAGGTGCTCCTTACTTGTATAGTAGTGTAAGGTGGGGACCGTATACAAAATTCGCCTAGTATTTTTTAGATGTTCAAAATCTGGTCTTTTAGGAGCTCAATATTAGTGTTGTTGTTGTATTATTATTATTAGATCTTTATCATACGTTTTTTAATTTTAAAATTCATAATTAGAGTTGAATGTGGATTTTCAAGCCATATTAAGGATTCCGATCAAAACTGCAATTACGTGGTGGGATTTTAAATCAGGAAGTATCGTAACAGTGAAGCGAAGCCCAAATATTGAGGTTTACATGTCCGAGTGTCTTGGATTAGTGGGGGACTGATTCTAATTTCACCAATTTGGACTTCTACAATTCTTGATGTAGATTTATGTTATGTATCTAACATAAAGTAAAAAAAAGAAAGGGAAAATTTATCTCTACTCCTTGATTTTGAAACCCATTTTTATAAGAGACTCAATATTTCGAAACTTTTTTTTTTTTGTAATATAGAGTTTTAATCTTTTATATTTTCTAACCCCTTAACTCAAATAACCCCATTTGACCATATATAATTGACCCAAACAAAATATGAAAGGACCTTTCTCTTTCCCTCTTTCAAGACGGAGCATATTGTCTCTCTCTAAAACACACATCTCTCTCCTCTCTCTCTCGATAAAACCCACTAGAGCATACCGTCTCTCTCTAAAACACACATCTCTCTCCTCTCTCTCGATAAAACCCACTAGAGCATACTGTCTTTCTCTTAAACCCACACATCTCTTTCCTCTCTCTCTGTAATGTTGGGTTTATGTGGCCTTTAAAGGCCTTATGAGTGCTTGTAAAATGAAATGATATAGTGGAACATGAACTCAGTGGGAGTGTGATCCATCATGGACCATACTAAGCAAACGATGGTTTGCTGATCACGATATGTTCTTAACGATCTAGGCCAGTTAGTTAAAAAAAACCCATGTTACCTAGGCATGAAGAACAAACCAATGAGGGTTTATGGGTTAGCTCATGATGAGATCGGAGAACGTGCCCATATGAGTGAGCCGAGGGACTATGTAACTCTTGTGTGTGATGGTGGCCCACTGAGACGGGGGCCAAAACCTCATCCATGTTCCATCACACGACATGCATATTGATAGATCGTTCGGGAAAGCCAGATATCTATCTTTGGGTGAATCGTATGCATGTACAAGAGATACCCTATGCGCCATAGAGTTGTGGTTGCATCAGGTCGTGGTGACCTTGATTCGTCTCTAGGGGAGGACTTGTAATCCAAAGACTGGGATTGTGACCCCTTGATTCATCGACTTGACTTTGGTGACCCGTTAATGAGCTCTTACTTGGACTGTGGGTCATGAAAAATACTGGGTCGGTTCGATAAACCTAATGTGGTCTGTAGTCCACAGTTGAAAGTGGAGTACCCTGTTATTACAGATTGGATTCCTAAAACCATATGGATCTTTTTTCCATCATATTAATTTAATTGTGTTCATTTATTATTGAAATGATTTTAGTTTTATTATTTGAATTTTTATGAATCTTTCAATATTTTATTTGTGATTTTTGGACTTATAAAAATACAGTTATTGTTCTTACAAAGTTATAAAAATTCAAATATATATTTTAAATTTTTTATTCAATTTTAAAAATAATATTTTTTTTTGTAAAATTTCATGGGGCCTATAGTGCACATGGGCCCACCATGTGGCATGTGGGTGGGGGCCCACATGTGCCACAAAAGGGTGGCACGCCTCACCCTCTTTGGATTCTCTTGTTTGCTTTTAAGATAAGGTGAGTTTGATTTATGACATGTGGTCAAATTTTTGAAGGGATATATTGACCATGGCTTTATCTATTTTATAACAAGTTTGTTTTAAAGAGATATGATCAATTTGAATTGATATGGATCTTATCTTATTTATATTTGGTGTATTTATCTACTTGATATTATTTGACATATCTTTATGGAATATGTGACATGGATGTGCAATTTTATAGAATACATGATATTTATTTTATTTAAATATATTGATGGGAAAATGATTTAAGGAAAGGAGAATGATGGTCCAAGCACCTTCCATAATGTTGATGGCATATCTATGGAATGTTGATGGTATATCTATAGAATGGATGACTCAGATCTCTCACCCACAAGTCACCCTTGATTGACGGTCTATGTTCAATCTCACAAAAGATGCAAGCCAAAAAAAACCCTAATCTTATTGGGATTGTCTCTACCAAAAAAATATCTACACCTTATCTTTATATCTGTCTCCCACATTGTGAAAGAACCTAAGGGTTTAGGTTGTGGAGTTATTCTCTCCTATCTCTCAAATATAGATTTATGGCTAAGGGTTTTAGGGTTTAGCAAAAAAAGAATCCATCTCTCTCAAACTAGGTTGTTAAGAGAATTCACCTAAAGTTTGAAGTTGTGATCAAAGGGGTTCATGTTCTGTTGGTGTGGCTTGACCGAAATTTACTTTTTCGGTTCGAGATTGAAGCTAGACCATTGATCCCGTGCCATCGAATGGTGGTGACTCGGTGTAGGGTGTAATAAGCCCAGTTGAGGTAATGTCAAGCACTCTTCCTTTTGTATTATTCTCGGTTCTTGAGATCTTATCAAGCATAGTGCATAGTTGTTTCAATGACATCAAGTTGTTTTTAATTTTATTGTTACATTGATTTTATTTTGAAATCTATCTTATTATAATAAAGACCACCTGTAAGTAATTTTTTACCCAAAAAAGAATAAATAAATAAAATAAAAATATATATATATATATTTTTTCCGACAAAAAATCATATAGGGCTTTCTTTCACGTAAAACCTACAAGAGCGTACCGTCTGTCGCTAAAACTCACACCTCTCTCCTCTCCTCTCTAAAACCCACATAGCTCTTGAGGCCCCAATTCTCTATAACGTTTCTCTCTAAAAAGTGCAAGAGTGGTAAAGCAACAAATATTTGTTGAACACCTCTCTCTCGTGCGTCCCTTTTCTCACATATGAGATCGATTTGCAGGACTGGGAAATCCTGGATGAAGAGGATGGCTCCTTCCAATCCAAGGAACTCTCTCAATAGCTCACTTTCAATCATGGAGGCTACCTCAATGTCAACTACTTTGTCTGCCCCATCACTTCCCCCAACTCCGCCAAATTAGAGAAGAAAACGCATCTCGACCTCCTCTAGATTTAGCAGAGAAGGAAAACCTAATTGTCGGTTCTGTAGTGGAGAAAGACCCCCCACTGGATTTAGCAGAATCGATAGCGCAGAAGGTCTCAGTAATGGAAATTAAACTGTGCACAAGTCCCCTTGTAATTTCCCTTGAAAACATTAACGGGGAGGGATCAGACTGATCAGACCCAATTTCTCAGGTGTTCCTCAAGAAGATGGAGGAACCCAACTTTGTCAACACAACAAACATGGACAGGCATCGCTCTATTGAATCGGTTGCAGAGGAATAGAATTGGAAAGCCATGATCCGCTGATTGCCCTATGCAGAAATACAATAAATTTATAATTTGTTAGTAACTAAAGTCATGACTTTTCAAAAACATCAGCGAATTGGGCGTAGGTTTATTAAACTGAAATTGAATTGACCAGTTAGTCGTTAGGATCGTCGAAGTCTTGCGGAGTGCGTTTTGTCGAGTGAACCGGGCATGAGGGAAACCCATTTTGGATCGATGAATGATTGATTCGGATCAGCAATCCAGCTAAGAGGATTGGTTAATAAAAAATAAAAAATAAAAAATAAGAAATGTGGGGACCGAACAATGCAAACACCTTAACAAAATCGATTCCTCCTATCAAAAAATCGCCTGGTTCTATGAGAAACAAACCAATGCCTGGTTCCAACAGGGAAGAAGATCAATTCCCACTAATTCCCGATTTGGGTCTGCTGATTTCAATTTGTATTAGTATTTTTTCAAATGCTAGTTCTTCCTATTGTTTAGAAATGGGGTTGCATTTTATATAACAACAACAAATGCGAATACACTATGGAGTTGCACCCTAAATGT